GCAAAGAGCTAAACTGACGTTGGAATGTACGGTTGGTCTCACACACTCTTGTCTAATTTTAGATGAGGAAAAACTCTGTAAGTTTTCTTTCATGTTGATTTTGCATAGAATGCACAGTCAGATTAAATCCTAATGCTGGCTCTGTAATGCAGCAATGGCTTTAAGATATTAGGAGGACTCACTGGCTGACAGCACAGACGGCCACACAGCAATGGAGACATCAGTGGAGACACCAATGGAGGGTTTAAATATTCGTTACAAGGACGAAGATGGCACCGTGCTCTACGAATCTTACATTCCCCCATCCCGGGATGCCATCTACCTGCCGACCTATGTCCTCTACCTGCTCATAGCCGTCTTCATTGTCGTATCCGTCCTCTACGCCATCATCGGCCACCTTATTAAAGACCTCATTCATGACTTTGCAGGTTTGTTGCTCTACTTGTAGTTTTTTAAATAATTTAGCCAAGAAAATGTTATGCAATGCTACACCTCTTTGATATGTTATCTTTGTTCCTTGCCACCAATTTCCTTGCTGTCCAGACCGGCTGTTTGGGGAGCAGCCTGAGGAAATTGTGGTCAACTACTGTGAAGCTAAGGACAAGTTCATGGCAGACTGGTCCCCAGAAACATCCCCAGAACTGGAGGCGATGGCTCGGGCAGAGGAAAACAAGATGGTTGATTTGGACTTTATGAAATCCCCCGCTATTTGGATTCTCTCCACCGAGCCACGAGGCTCCAGGTCAGGCCCCCGTGTGGTTTTTGGGAAAAGGAGTTAGTCATGGACGATCCATAGAAAGGGTTGAAATAGATACAGAAACAGATAATAGATACAAACTGTCTATCAGCATACATTATTTAAACTTCAGTGTGATGTATGAAAACCAGTGATGACTGATAATGGTGAATCAACATTTCTCTCTCCTTTGGTTTGTTTGTTTCTTCTGTTAATCATTGTGTTCAGCTCTATATTTAAAGGGCACACATACTTCACTGGTCCTTTACTGACATCTACTGTCTTTTGCTGTGATTACAGATTATTAAAGAGCAACTGACACATTATAACAACTAAACAAAACAGAAACAACACAGGCTTGCCTTACAAAGACGATATTTGATTTCCAAAATTATTTAAAAAAAAGGTTTTATTGCATAATACTGTTTTCTTTCTGCAGGAAACCTACATATATTTCATTCCTTTGTAGAATATATAAAAGTTGTCTAGTACAAATAAAATCAAAAGATGTCCACCTTGTATGTGCTTATTCATTTTCAATACAAGATATTACAGTGTACAAAATGTTATTTCAGATCAAACATTAACATTTCACATGGACGGTCTGTGATAAACCTCTTCGAATAAACAATACAAACAATAAAAAGGATCTTGTGACTCTTTCCAAAATTGTTCTGCTTGGCTATATAAACACGACCAATCAAATATCTTCTAATACAATACATGCATTAAAGTTTATTGAGGAAAAAAATCCAATTCAAGCCCTACACTTAGTAGTTGTACTGTCATATGTTGAGATATTGTTACCAATTTCTGTTCTCTTAGTCAATTTATCCCTGGAGATCAATTAAGTATTTTCAATTCAATTCAATTCTCCTAACTACTCACTAACAATAGATAGTTTGTTAGCTCAGTACTAAATTATGACAGGGAGAAAAGGCAAAGGAGTACAGTTACAATGAACAGAGGCATTGCTGTCATGGAAAATATTCCAAATTCAATTAAAAATGGTGGCGCAAAACATTTCAGGGTTCCTGCAAAAAAAAATATTAGTTCGAAATTGAGTAGAATCTTTTTCTGGATTTCAGATTTTCACAGAGGTAGCTAGAGACAGCAAAGGGGTCAGCATCTTTGCCACCCTGACAGAAAAAGCCCTGAAGTTGGCGTTTGACACAGAGGCGGCAGCAGCAGTGGCGGGCTGAGCTGTGCGTCACTCCACACGTGACATCGCCACTGAGCAGCAGAAACGTGGTGGGCAAGGCACCAGCAAATCACAAGGTTGACACAAGGACATAGATTCAAGCACGCTCATATTCAGGCCTATTGACCATTTACCGTTTCCAAGACAGAGCTTTAGCACGATGGACGGCTACATTTATGGGCACAGTGAACTTCTGTCAAACACAGCCCTTACTTCAGTTGTCATAAGTAACGTTTTCTCCCACTGTGGAAACAATACAGCTGCCAAAATACCAAATTCTAGTAGTCTGCACATGAGATATCTTGTTGTATCGGTAGATATAAACTGGATTCAGTAAAAAAAATAAAAAGATTAATAAAAAGTACACTATAGATAGTTTTAGCAAAGAAAATGTTGTATCTAGAGCATCCTTATGGGAAACCCAGAGCACGTGTGTTAGGTGGTGTCATTCTCATGTTGCTGCATCAGCACAAATAAAGGCTCTGACCAGCACACCCTGCAGACGCTGTGAAGCAGTGGCAGCTCCCGCCCACAGGGAGGCGCTGTGAGAACAAAAGGCTCACATCACTTCATGAACACGGCATGTGAAAAACGTGAAATCCTTGTGGGTTGGTAATTAGCTTTGGCTGATCAGAATAAAACCGCAGTGCATTTACATATAGCTAATTATTTAGCAATTTGATCTCCGACAACCGAACCTAAATGAAACATGTTGCCTATCTTTGTCACCCACATCAGTTCTTTAGGTAATTAAGGATGGGATACACTGGGGAATTTGGTATTGGTCCGGAATGTATCTGGGATAAACTCTGTAATAAATAAAATATGAGTAATTTGTTGCCAAGATAGGAGAAAAACTATTGCAACAAGAGCATCTATTTAATCTAAAATCGACCTGTAACCGATATTCCACTTGGTATACAATACTATCTAGACTTTGATCAATACAATTAAACATGACGACATTTTCTTTATTTTTTTCAAAGATGGTATATTTTAAAACAGCTGCAGGATGAATCGTGTCTTTCCACCTCCAGAGTGAGCTTCTGAGACTTGTCCAGGCCTGGTGTTCTCTTTGACCCACCAAACGTTCCAATAACTCAGTGTGAACAGCTGACGGTGCTTCAGGATGAAAGATTTGCAGTTGCCGGC